CTAAGTGCTGCTATTTTCCTTCATCAACACTAAAACTACAGCCTGGCTGTAGCACACAGCAGGCTGTTTTATCTTTCACAAAACGCGTAAGGCAATAAAAGTAGCCACGCATCTCATCTTCCCAGTATTGAAATGGATTCGTTTTGTCTTTTTTAAGTGACCTTTTTATAGTTGTTATGAAGTGAGAAGCCACCCATGGAAACCAAAATAGTTTTTTGAACTAGTCTGCAAATATGTATTTTAACAATGAAGACTGGCTCTAAGTTACTGCATTACTTTGCTACACCCCAGATGTCGTCACTAGGACGTCTAGCTGTAAATTCAGTTCTCCCATAGCAGGATACTAATGCTTGCACATCTGGACTGGAGGTGTGTGGGCTTGGGTGTGTGTATTTGTTTGCAGGAAGAAAAGTGTAAATGTGCAAGGGTGAGCGGTGCACTGAGTGATGCATACACACAGTGGCACACATACCAAACCCTCTAATCATGTATGTTTCCTCTTGGCCAGGCTGATGAATTAGAGAGCCCTAAATGTTAATCTGTCTGATCTGGTGTTTGTGTGCGTTCACATGGGTGACCTGTATGTTTGATCTTAAGCTTATGCAGATCTTATACACGTGCATGTAAGTGACAAAGATTTAGATAACAGGGACGAGCATGCCTGGAATGCTGAGGTGAGTGTCGCCACGGGAGACAGGCCTCACAGTGAGAGGAATCAAGGGAATGTGAAACCGTCTCTTCACATATGCACCAAGCACTCTAATTGCCGGTTATTCTGTTTCTGAGGATTATGTCCATACGAGGCAGAGCAGTGAGCCGTGGTGGGCAGAGTCTGGATCAAATCAAGTCAAATTAACACCGTGTCAGGATCACAAGTACCTCTCCTCCTCATTTTAAGTGGCGAATTAACCAGGAACACACAGGGCAGACAAATGGGATGAAGATGGAGGTTGAGACATTAAAACAAGATAACTGCAATTTGGATCAGGTTCATCTGCACTTAAGGCTAAATATTGCAGTGTGTGTTCAGAACGCTTGCCTTTAAATATAATATACTACACATTTAGGATTTTTAGTGTCTCTGGGAAGGATTTGAAAGAATAAAACTTGAATGAAAAATGCAGCAGTGTGTTTTGTCTTGTTTTCTATCTCTCTCACTCTCCACGTACAGCATTTATTAATATATACTATTCCTGTCTGTCTCTGTCAGAGCAAGGCTCAGGAAGTTATCTGAACCTAACGGACTTAATTGGCTTCCCCCTCCCTCCCTCTGTGTCCTTCACTGCTGGCTTTGAGGGTCATCCAGCCTACAAATTTGGGTCTCAAGCCAATGTCGGCCGACTCACCAAAACCTTTGTGCCGGGATCGTTCTACCGGGACTTTGCTATCATCGTCACGGTAACCCTACAATCTTCTAGCCTCCTTGATTGTCAACATGCTCAGTTGTCATAACTAAAGATATGACGGTTTATGAGGGCGAATGCCTCCTTGTGTCATCACCGTGTGAAATGTCGACATTAAAGCAAGACTCATATGTTTGTCCCTGTTTAAAAACTGTGAATACAGAAAAATATCTCTTTAATGTTTTCATATACTCACTTATGACTGAATTTCATGTGAAAGGGATGTGGAAGCAAAAGCTTAAAGTCTTTTTTTTTCCTCACACCATCGTATTATTCCAGGTGCGCCCAGCTAGCCAGAGAGGTGGCATGCTCTTTGCCATCACAGATGCCCAACGCAAGGTGGTGAAGCTGGGTTTGGCCCTCACTCCAGTTCGCGAGGGCCTCCAGAGCATCTTACTGTACTACACTGACCAGGAGCAGGCCTCCCACAGCCACAAAGCGGCTGCCTTTAGCGTCCCGGATATGACTGACCAGTGGACACGATTCACGGTGAGCTTCATCCAGGTTAACGACAAAAGATAAAAAGACTCTTCCACTAAGATGAGTGGTTTAACTTTGTCCAAGTCATTGTGGACTGACGTCTGTTGTCTCTGCCTGTCAGGTGGTGGTGGAGCATAATGAGGTCCGTCTCTACTTGGACTGTGGAGAGGCCGAGAGTAAGGACTTCCATCGTAGGCCAGAGAAACTCACCTTTTCACACAATTCAGGCATTTTTGTAGCTAATGCAGGAAGCATGGGGCTTGACAAGTTTGTGGTAAGTGAAAGTTTAATATTAATGTGGTAACCGAAAATGAGAGAAAGAACGAGAGAAAGAACTATATATTTTCTTCTTTTTTTCACATTTAACTAGCCAGTACTCTAAATAAATCTGTCTCTAAATAAAGACCCCATATCGATTTTGATGGTAAGAAAGGGAAGCAAAAACTTCCACTGACCAAACAGAAAATGTTTGAAAAATCTGCCTGATTTGAGATGGAAAGACCTAGAAGTAATTAATTTTATGCAGTTTTTCATTGGTTTGGTTGAACTGTTTCCTCGGTAGAGTGAACTGTTCTTGTCTCTCTTTGGGAGACTTTTCTTAATCATAGCGTCAAGATGTTTGGCCAGTTTTTATTTATTTAGGACAGTTTCCACATCCTAATGCAAAATGAATACACGTTTTTCTGGACTGGATAAGAATACAGCCAGGCCTACAGATCACACACAGAGAGGAAGTGAGAGGGGAGGATACATGGGGGAGTAAATCAACTGCAGATGAGGAAGTTGAAGATATCAACATGGCTTGGTTGTGGTGTGATCAAAGGCAGACCGTGGAGTGCTGCATCGTGATAGGGCACAAATGCAAACTTGATGTCATTTCTCATTCAGGAAAAAACAAAACAAAAATGTTTGTGTGCTTGTCATTGAAACAAATGTCTGTGCAATGTCAACTCCGACGTTTCCAGAATGAATACATGACGTTCTTTGGCCAAAAGGAATGAAAATCTATTACAAAAGCCACTTTGACACATGACTTCTTTTCCATCTCAACTATCTCCACACAAAAAGAAAAGATAAAAAATAAAAGAAATACGAGCTGGGAGCAAATTGCTGTGGTGAGACACCCTTATCACCTCACTCTGCTTCGTTCAGTGTAGCTTGACTGTCTGAACAGGTTATCTGAAGCATGATGGCAAAATATGTGCACGCTCAGCAGCAGTACGTGCACTCGTGCCCATCTGGGACAGTGTGCGTGCGTGCGTGCGTGCGTGCGTGTGTGCATGTGTGTGTGTTTGTGTGTGTGTGTGCGTGTGTGCATGTGTGTGCATGTGTGCCTATTACCTCACATTTTGCTGTGATACAGTGTGTCTGGTATCACTGTCAGACTTTCTAAGAGAGATCCACAGTCCTGAATAGAAGTTCTGTGACAGAAGAATAGAAGCTTTAATTTTTGTCAAATATTCCAAACACTGATCACTGAAACTAAAGTAAATTTTTTAATGCTTCAGAATAACTTCCCAATTATATGTCAGAGGTATTTCAAGATGGCTGCTGAGTGGCAAGACAGAGTTTTTCCTCTGTCTATTCTAATTACAGCAACTGCATGTAAATATGTCCCCACCTTTTAGACTGAGGATAGTCCATGAAACATTTTAATGGGGACTGTTTAAACAGATAGCTCTGGATGACTCACAGCTCACAATAATCTCTGCTGATTCCTGCACAGTCCATCATTTCCTCCACTGTCTGAAACGAGCAACATTCCCTTTCAGCTAACTTTCCTCTCACTGGCTCTTTCATACAAAGAACATAATTTATTCCAGGTGGGCGGAGCTTTTATGCCCACAATCAGAGCTGTGTTTGAAATGACCATACGAGGAGTCTCAGTGAGACAGCACACTACACTTGGGATGCAAGTGTTATGCAGTGTTGTGCATAATGTACATATGTTGTGTACATTTCCAAATAGTTATGGACCTAACTGCATGTACAATGTAATCAGATGACAGTTATTATGTTGCCAACAAATCACACAAAGAAGTCTGTAGACCAGTAACTAGATGGACACTTGGAGTGCCTGCATCACGATTTTAAAGAAATTGATCCAGTTCACACCAAAATGTGACGTGTTATCTCTTTGCCCTCATCTCAACTAAGATTCATCAATCTTAAGGCATAAGCCAGTGATTCCATGACCCATTTTTAATTAGATTGTTAGTCTTTCTCTTAAATGTAGCTCGAGTTACTACCTATGATGAATTATGAGAACACAGAGAAATGAGACTGAAAACATATCTAATGTTTGGTGGAGGAACTCTAATATGACACCTCCACAAAGGCAGCATCACTGCTTTGTTGTTTCATTTGTGTTATTATTTGGTCTTACCAGACTGATGCTGAGGACACAACGGAAGAACTAATTCTAGCACTGCTCAGACAGACAGAAGCCCAACGGTCACAGCAGTCACCGAACTCCCGTCAGTCAGCCAGCACAAGCCTTCCTCTCCATGCAGTGACATGTTTCACATTTCCTTTGTTTTTTCCTCTGCAGGGTTCGATTCAGCAGCTGGTCATAAAAGACGATCCAAGAGTGGCTGAGGAGCAGTGTGAAGACGATGATCCTTATGTGAGACACTCCGTAACTTGTTGCTGAAATGCAAACCTTTCTAACACAAAGCCACAGTCTGCCTAGCGATATTTTAAAATGCTGTAAAAACTTACATGTCAATCCACAGCTCCCCCTTGTGGTTAAAATTACTGGTTGTAAGGATTTGTGCTAAAAGGGTTTTTTTTTTCACCAATGAATGTATAATATGACGTTTGATAAAGGCCTCGGGGTACGCCAGTGGAGACGAGGCTTTGGATGACAGAGAGACAGAGAAAGACCTGAGGAAGGCCGCACAGGTGAGAACGCCTGGCTCAGCACGGGTTGGCTGGTGATGGCTGGATGGATTACTTTAGTCCACTCCATCCATCAGTGTGTGTGTGTGTACATGTTTAGACATCTTTGTGAGGAAAGAAAATTGGCATACGATACCTGTGGGGAGCAACAGTCACTGATGGGGACAAAATGCCGTCCCCACGGGTTTGAGGCATTTTTGAGGCTCAAAATGTGATTTTAGTGTCAGGGTTACAATTAGGTTATGGTTAGGTTTAGGGTTAGGGTTAGCCATTCATTTTTATCGGTTAGGTTTGGGGTAAGCGGATAGGGAAAGCAGTATGTCAATGAGATGCCCTCACTAAGATATAAAAATGTGTGTGTGTGTGTGTGTGTGTGTGTGTGTGTGTGTGTGTGTGTGTGTGTGTGTGTCCGCTTGTTATGTCTGGAGCTTAAAACTAAAACTACACTCCATGTCTGTTTGCACTTGTAAGAGTTCAACCCTATGCATTATTTTGGTGCTGTCTTTCATCCTCCCACAACCTAAAAGTCAGTTTGACCCCAAACATCTCTGAATTAAAACTGACTTTGATGCTTCAAAGAAAACTGGCCTTAATAACCTGTTACTACAGAATGGTGGAGTCATGGTAGACCCTTCTAGTCTGGCCTGGAGACACTATCAGCAGCAGAGTAGAAAAAGAGCAGAACACGATGCTGGTCTTTTATTGTGTTGATGTTTAGTAATGCTCTTGTTTTGAAAAATAAAATAATTCATCTGAAGTATACTAAATGAAAAATCAAAGTGCTTTCTGTTAATAGTCTCATTCACCCAATTCAACCCCATTAACCATCCCTAAATACAGTCACTTCTTTCATCTGTACCAAAACCCTTTATCTAACTTTCACACGCATTCACACTTTTGCCTGAGGACACTTCAACACATGCACAGGAGGAACAAGAGAAAGGAGGACCTTCTAAGCTAATGTGGAAGAGCAGGTTGTCACACTTACAATGGTGGGACAAAGACATGGTGCACACACGAGACAGAATCACAGCCATTTGTGTCTCTTGCAAGGAGGAGGGTGTTCCCGTTAGTGCTCCGCCCACTGATGCTCCAGAGGAGTTTGAGGACTTTTCTCCTCACACGGGTCCAACAGAAGCCCGAGTGGACCTGATGACAGGTCTGTAGCACAAAGTTTTGTTCCTGTTTATTCTATGAAAGCTTCAGTATTTGAATTATGAACTAAACCTTTATCATATTTACTTTTCTAAATGTCCTCTCTCTATGATAACGTAAGCATACGCTGTCTGAAGTAAAACTGATAGACGTCATATGCTGTTTGCAGGGCTACACCGAACAGAGGAGGCGGGAGAGCAGCCACAGGGTGTAAGTTGGAGCGTGGGCTTTCTTGCCTAGTTGTCTTATTTTGAAGACAGTGTTGGTCAGAAGATAACAAATGTAGCTCCAGTGTTTCAGTTTATTTTCCCTACAGACACAAATAACTTAAAGACTTCTTGATTTCAATTTTAAAGGGTGATGTCAGGTTAAAAGGAGAGCGCGGTGATCCTGGCCCGCCTGGCCCACCTGGTCCACCAGGTCCTCCCAGTGTATTCAGAGAGACTAAGCTTGGAACATCTGGCCCACAGGGACCACCAGGATCTCCTGGGCTGCCAGGAAAAGATGGACACAAGGTTTGTGTGTCAAAAAGAGGGTTTGTGTGTTTTTCCTTCACCATCTTTCGAAGAACATCGGAGATTTTTTAAGTGAACTTTAAACTCACGAAGTAATAAGTCTTCTTGCACCACTGACTCTCATGCTTCCTCGTGCTTCTGCTTTCAGGGAAGCAGAGGCGATAAAGGAGGTCCAGTAAGTTAAACAGCACTATGTCTGCTTGTTTGTTTTTTTCTGTTTCAGTTGCTACGCTCACTAATTATATTTTCATCGTCAGGGCCAAAAAGGGTCTCAAGGATTTCCAGGCTTGAACGGAGAAGTTGGAGCTAAAGGAGAGAAGGTCCAGCTAATGCATCCATGTTGCATTTAATTAACTGTTACTCTTTATTCCAAATGTAGTTTTATTTTATGATACCAAATAAAAAGAAAAAGTTCTGCCTTTTTCTTCTGTACTTTACTCCTCCCTGCCTCCTTACAGGGAGACCCGGGAGTTGGTTTACCAGGCCCCCCTGGCCTTCCTGGACCCCCCAGATCACGCAGTGTACCCGTGAGTAACAGTTTATGGTTTCGCTACTTCCTCCCAATATGTGTCTGCTCAGTATTGTCTTGCATTTTAGCAATGATATCAAATGTAGGCAGCATAAACAAGACATGAATACAAAGAAAAGCATCTTGATGAATGTGTTTTAGTATGGACCAGATGCCCTGGGTTCTGGGTTTGAAGACCTGGACAGCGATGCAGACCTCATCCAGGTAAGAGAAAGGACTAGTTAACAGATGCAAGAGTCTGACAGTCAATTATGGCAGTGAAAAGAAATCTAACATCTCCTTCCATTAGGGTCCTCCTGGTCCACCGGGCCCTCCAGGACCTCCTGGTCCCCCTGGACCCCACCTGTCCTCATCTGCCACCATTGAAGGACTTTCTCCTGGGCATGCTGGACCACCTGGTGCACCTGGCAGTGATGGCCTTCAAGGCAAACAAGGAGTACCAGTAAGTTAACCTTCAATTTAAGTGAAAAATAGATGATTTGTTTTAAATACAAAAATCTATGTAATACAGGGAGTGCAGAATTATTAGGCAAATGAGTATTTTGTCCACATCATCCTCTTCATGCATGTTGTCTTACTCCAAGCTGTATAGGCCCAAAAGCCTACTACCAATTAAGCATATTAGGTGATGTGCATCTCTGTAATGAGAAGGGGTGTGGTCTAATGACATCAACACCCTATATCAGGTGTGCATAATTATTAGGCAACGTCCTTTCCTTTGGCAAAAAGGGTCAAAAGAAGGACTTGACAGGCTCAGAAAAGTCAAAAATAGTGAGATATCTTGCAGAGGGATGCAGCAGTCTCAAAATTGCAAAGCTTCTGAAGCGTGATCATCGAACAATCAAGCGTTTCATTCAAAATAGTCAACAGGGTCGCAAGAAGCGTGTGGAAAAACCAAGGCGCAAAATAACTGCCCGTGAACTGAGAAAAGTCAAGCGTGCAGCTGCCAAGATGCCACTTGCCACCAGTTTGGCCATATTTCAGAGCTGCAACATCACTGGAGTGCCCAAAAGCACAAGGTGTGCAATACTCAGAGACATGGCCAAGGTAAGAAAGGCTGAAAGACGACCACCACTGAACAAGACACACAAGCTGAAACGTCAAGACTGGGCCAAGAAATATCTCAAGACTGGTTTTTCTAAGGTTTTATGGACTGATGAAATGAGAGTGAGTCTTGATGGGCCAGATGGATGGGCCCGTGGCTGGATTGGTAAAGGGCAGAGAGCTCCAGTCCCACTCAGACGCCAGCAAGGTGGAGGTGGAGTACTGGTTTGGGCTGGTATCATCAAAGATGAGCTTGTGGGGCCTTTTCGGGTTGAGGATGGAGTCAAGCTCAACTCCCAGTCCTACTGCCAGTTTCTGGAAGACACCTTCTTCAAGCAGTGGTACAGGAAGAAGTCTGCATCCTTCAAGAAAAACATGATTTTCATGCAGGACAATGCTCCATCACACGTGTCCAAGTACTCCACAGCGTGGCTGGCAAGAAAGGGTATAAAAGAAGAAAAACTAATGACATGGCCTCCTTGTTCACCTGATCTGAACCCCATTGAGAACCTGTGGTCCATCATCAAATGTGAGATTTACAAGGAGGGAAAACAGTACACCTCTCTGAACAGTGTCTGGGAGGCTGTGGTTGCTGCTGCACGCAATGTTGATGGTGAACAGATCAAAACACTGACAGAATCCATGGATGGCAGGCTTTTGAGTGTCCTTGCAAAGAAAGGTGGCTATATTGGTCGCTGATTTGTTTTTGGTTTGTTTTTGAATGTCAGAAATGTATATTTGTGAATGTGGAGATGTTATATTGGTTTCACTGGTAAAAATAAATCATTGAAATGGGTATATATTTGTTTTTTGTTAAGTTGCCTAATAATTATGCACAGTAATAGTCACCTACACACACAGATATCCCCCTAAAATAGCTAAAACTAAAAACAAACTAAAAACTACTTCCAAAAACATTCAGCTTTGATATTAATGAGTTTTTTGGGTTCATTGAGAACATGGTTGTTGTTCAATAATAAAATTATTCCTCAAAAATACAACTTGCCTAATAATTCTGCACTCCCTGTATACACTGATGGGATTCTGCAGACGTATGCAACTGTCCAAACATGCATGGTCCTGTGTGGAAAAAGTAACGCAGTGAAGACGTGTTGTCTGTGGTGACACATCACACTTCTCCATCTAACAAACCTGTGGACAAATCCAGGTTTGGCAGTTGTAAGGATGGCGGTACTTGTCTGGGGCTGCTTTGATTTCCTGGACGACCATGAATTCTGCTCTCCACCAGAAAAAGAGAAATTTCTGGCCATCAGTTTATTCCCTGAAGCTCAAGCTCACTTGGTTATGCAGCAGTGCAGTTATCCAGAACACACCAGCAAGTCCACCTCTGAATTGCTCCAGAAAAAAAAAGTTTCTGTAGTGGACTATTCAAAGTTCAGAGTTAAATGTGCCTGAGATGCTTTGGCATGACCTCAAACAGGCTGTTCACACTCGAAAATCCTCCAGTGTGGATAAATTAAAATAATTCTACAAAGACGGGCGTGCCAAACAAAGAAATGCTCTATGGCAGTAATTGCAAAGACTTGATTACAGTTTGTTAGGTTTAGGGGGAAATTACTTTAACACACAGGACCTGGAAGACTTGGTTAGCTGTTTTCATTTAGTAAAGAAAGTAATTTAAAGCTGCATTTTGTATTTACTTAGGTTATCTTTGTCTAATTTTAAAATTTGTCTGATGATCTGAAGAATTTAAGAGTGACAAATATGCAAAAAATGAAGAAATCAGAAGATGCTGTATAGACACTGGACAGACACCTCTGTTAGTATAACAGTGCTACATCAGGAGACATTATTATAGCCTATAATATTTTTACATAATTGTTTTTTTCATATGTTCTGTTTTACTATATCTTGTACCTTCACATTTTATTTGGATTATTTCTCATTGAATTTGCCCCGAGCATTGACTTTTTTCTCCTTTTCCACCTTCCAGTCTTTGCTCTGATTTTATGTAGTGCAACAATTAGATTCCACCTTTATTTTATTTCTTAAATATTGTCATATTGTAGTGATTTGCATTTCTGTGTTTATATAAGCCAATGACCGTTCTCTAACTGTCTCTCTCCATTTCATTGTCCTTTATCTCCACAACCAATCTTTATTCGTACCTTTATTGTTCCTCCTTCTTATTCCTACCTGGAATCTCTCCTATTTGTTTCAGATGGTTGAGGATTGGTTTAGTGGTTCTGGGCCTGACGGTTCAGGTTTGAGCTCAGAGTTCTCCGCTGTCCTCACCTCAGACTTCGGCTCTAGTTCTGGTTCTGACTTTGAGTCAGCATGGGGTTCAGGCGAGGTATACTGCCCAGTTTGCCTGGAAAACCAGCAAACAAAGAAAGGCAGAATTTCAGTCAGCGCTAGAGCATTGAGGTAGACAACATTTAGCTTTCACCGTGATAAAACGGTGTCAAAGCAATAAAGATGAACCTTAGCTAACTACCCTAATGCTCAGGCACAAATGACTGCACATTATCTCCAACTACGTTATCTTAACTGCTGGCTTGCTTGTGCTAAAGCTGAAAGTGATAATCGCTGTGCCATGAAACCCAAAGTGGTTCTTTTACTTTCAGTTCCAAAATTGTCATTGCCAAGGAAAAAAAATCAGCATGACATTTTACTCTATATGATGACAAGCAACTGAACTGAAAGGATCTGGCCACACTCTTATTGCTTATAACCTCATGCTTCTCTCACTGCACATGGTAAAGGAACTGCTCTGCCTTTTGCACCAGTCACATTCATTTTTTACTTCTGTTGGCTGATTTTTCTCAGGGATATCAGGGATATATAAACTACTGTATATATATATCCCTGCGTCTGCTACTAAAGTTACAAATGGGCGATTTCTACATGAACCAAACAGTTGGTTAAGTAAAGATTTGTATGTGACAGTGCCACCAAGGTCACGTGACAAAAAGCTCTCAATATTATCAGTTAAACGAAATATCCTGGACTAGATTAATGTGCTGGATTGATGAACAAACAGAAATACATATTATAGCTTTAGTAGTAAGCAGTCTTCTCTTGGATCAGCTGGCAGTGAGTGTGTTACCAATGAAGTCTGAGGTTTTATGGGTCCATCAGTGGGTTGGCACAGAAACACTGCTCTGAGTGGTGCTGCTTGATTAAAGGGATATACTGAATGTATCATCACTTCAGCTTGCTGTTAGGTGATGAAAAAAGAGGCGATAAAATCATCCTCGCCTATATGGTTGATGACATCGATCCTTCACGCTACAGCACATTTAGCTAAATGGCAAACAGTCACAAACACCTTGATTGAAAATTGTTCAATTTATTTGTATGTTGCTGCTTTGAATTGTTTGTGCCAGTTGGACAAATAAGAGGCAATGATATAAACAGCCATTTACCATTGTCTGCGTTAAAGCAGAACGTTTCGTATTGAGGTTAAAATCATCATTTAGTGCAGAGCAGTGTTGGCATGGATGATATTATCATTTAAGGAAGCTGAAGAATCGAACAGCTTCCAAACATTCATGTATTCCTTTAAGGTGACGAGGGTCACAGTTGCACTCTGGATTGTTCCTGTTGGAACAGCCAAAGTGTCAACACACAGCGACAGTATGCTCCCATACTAGCATACCTATGACTTACCACAGCTTTATTTCTCTACACTCTGCATGTGTCTTTCTATATTTCCAGGGTCCAGCAGGAAAAGCTGGTCCTCCAGGTTCACCTGGGGCTGCAGGCGAGAAGGTATGAACACCAAGAGCTAAAAGAAAAGACATCTAACCTTATTGCCAAACTTCTGCACATTTTTAGTGTAGACAGTCTTTATTAGTAATGATAGGTAACTAAAGTATATTAACTCCTTTACTTCCTTTAGGGTGAGCAAGGCCTACCTGGGCCAAAGGTAATTTATACTACTCAAAACAGAGTCATACCTGTAAATGGCATCCTGTTCACATCGTTTGGTAGCCCACAAATAAATACATTTCCTGTTCTTGTTGTTACTAATGAAAGTCTCCTGTTTGTCTGAGAAGGGTGAAAGTGGGTCAACGGGTGTCCAAGGAATTCCAGGGCCTCAAGGGCCTATTGGTCCAGAAGGAAAGAGAGGCCTTCCAGGCCCACCAGGACCTCCTGGCCCACCAGGGCCTCCAGGAACCAAATTCTTTGCAGAGGTGACCCAACCCAGTTTATTAATCACCTGTCCACATATCACTGCTACTATATAGCCTCATATAGATTAACGAGAGGAAAATGAGAATTGCAGTAGAAAACATTAAAAGGTTGTGTCTTTTTCATCACATTGAAGCTCAATAACTATAGACCGTGGCTTCGTTTTCAGGATATGGAGGGATCTGGCATGACTGATCAGATTACTGGAGTCAGAGGCCCACAGGTCAGTGTGAGGGGATATATGAGTTTATGTACAGTATATCTATTGATTCATATAAAGTAACGCATCCTTTTTGTTCTTTTAAGGGTCTACCTGGCCCTCCAGGACCACAGGTAATCTGTTTATGAATTTTCAACAAATTTACAGATAGCTACAATGACATGTTTAACAACTAATACTCGACATCTGGTTACTCTTTGAGTAGGGTGCTCTTACTGAACATACTTGTTTGTGTTTTCTGTAGGGTAAGGATGGAGCACCAGGAGCTCCAGGGCTCTCTGTCAAGGTAAATTCATTTTGGAATGACACAACTTATATGTTTCTGATATGCAGTATCAATTATCATCCACTTATTGTTTATATTTAGTGGCCAACAGGTTGTGTATTTTATGACCTAGTTGAGAACTATTGAGCTAAAGTGTTTTTGGTCATTGATGAAACAGCGTAGTTCATCTATGTGAACTTAACTTTCTCTAATCATTGGAATGCACGTTATATTTCACGTGAGCCACACATTACGTTAGAGTGAAATCACCATCACTCTTTGCAGCTTTTTTATTACCTCATTTTCTGATGTGTCTGATGGCAGGGTGAACCAGGAGAACCAGGACCAGAGGGTCTCCGGGGTCCTGCTGGACTACCAGGTCCTAGGGTAAGTAGCAGTGTTAGATGGCTGAGGTGGTTGGCAGTTCAAAAGTAGTTAGCAGCAAAAAAAACAAATACTGCACACTGCAAAAATGATACAGACAAAAAAAGGCTCTAGTCTAAAATCTTCCAGAACAGGCACCTTGTCAAAATATTGCAAAAAGCTATGTTATATATCTATAATTAATTAATTTGCCAACATTTTAGGAAACATTTTTTACAGATAAAATGTCTGACTGGTCCATTCTCCTTGGTAACTAGCCTGGAGGACATGGTGTATGTTTTCTCCCTCCACTCCCACTTTCATGAAGTGCTTGCTCACAGGGTGTCATCTGAGTGGCGGGGTATTATTGTAGCGTCACTGTTGTTGTGATTTATATAAATAAAATCGAATGCATTGAAATTAATTCGCACTATTCACTTATTCACTGTGCAACATTTTCTTCCTCTTTACAAACAGGGGGCCAAAGGAGAGAAAGGCGGTCCAGGACCCAAGGTAGGATCGGAAAAACTCTTTTATCCTAGATGTGATTTGTTGTATCATTTTCATTTCATCTTTCTGTTTTGTTGCTTCCTCTCATGTCTTCCAAATACCATGTTTGTTTCTAAATGTCTGTTTTTGGTAAGGGACTAATGATTCTGCATTATGTGAATTGCAGGGTGAAAGAGGAGCTGATGGCCTCAGTATCCAAGGACCACCTGGGCCTCCTGGGGCTCCTGGACCTGTCATTAATGTACATGATGTACGCACAAACACACAACATGACATTTAATTGAATGAAGACTTAAGATGGAGGCAGACCAACAAACAACTGTGTGGTCGTAGTGGTAGCTGTGCAGACATGCTGCTTTTTCCATATCTCTGAATATACTAAAGGTGCCCTAATGTCATCATTATATCTTCTGTCTACAGCTGCTCTATAATGTCACAGAGGGTATCCTCAACGTCACAGAGATCAGAGGACCACCCGGGCCTACGGTGCGTAGCTTCAAGTGAACTACAGTGTGTTTTAGGTTCTTTGTTGTTCCGCTCCGTCGTGGAGTATGGATGAAGGGGGTCGTAAATGAACTGATATTAAGATTTTTGCTGCAGCTGCAGGTGTGTTTGGTGAGCTTTTGCTTATGTGTGTGCTTTTCTCTGCATGTGTGTGTGTGTCTGCATGCTGCAGGGTCCTGAGGGATTGCCTGGCAGAGCTGGATTTCCCGTAAGAACATTTTGCTACACCGCTTTTTGTCCCAAATGATTAAATTCAGGAAAACTGGATGTAAATATTTATGTGATTATTCTGGATTCTTTTTCTTTTGCTGTCTTTTGGCTAAATGGGGTAGGTACCAGAGAAATCTTTAAACACACGATTTCATTGCAACCTTTTCTTAATCTTCCAACTTTCATCTCTTCCTAGGGCCCCAGGGGACCAAAGGGAGACATAGGACCTACAGGTATCCAGGGCCCCGCAGGGCTTAAGGTAAGAACTGAATATGAAGATTCATAAAGCATGTTCATATACATTTCGATGCCTATGAAACAACCCTAAACACCTCTCCTCAACATAAACATACATTTAATTTTGACAGGGAGAGAAAGGAGAACCAGGGGTGACAATTGCTGCTGATGGATCTCTCCTGTCTGCACCAAGAGGCCCTCAAGGGCCCAAAGGCACAAAGGTAGCCAACAAGTGACCTTTTTACCCCTAAAAGACTTTCTATATATTTAGTTACTTTGTGGTGAAAGACTTTAATGTATTTAATAATCTGTATCTAATGCTGGAGCCAAATAATGTTTGGTCCCTGTACTAGTTTAAGTGAATTCCTGTTTATGCAGTTCCTATGCAAGAAACATCTCCTGGATGCATTGGTACGCATGTATGTATCCTGGGGTCATCAGGTGTTTCGGGTCATCATACACCCGCGCCCAGGCGACCCAGCTGGGGGTGATCAGGCTCCGACTTGCATACCAATAGCTACCCGCGGATCAGCCCTTTTAATCCGCAGCCACCTTGTGGCTTTCTCTGCCGCTTCACTCACAGCCTGGATGGCCCTCTTCTTGGCTGCCTCAGCCACACCCACCTGATCGTGATCGTCCTACAAAGCCCCTTCATCCCACTTCTATGGGCTCATAGAATGTCTTCCAGCCTCTTCCCCTGCACTCCTGCACTAGTTCCTGGTACTTGGCACATTTCCTCTCATTGGCCTCCTCGATCCGCTCTTCCCATGGCACTGCGAGTTCCAGCATGATCAGATGTTTTGAGGCCTCAGAAGTGATGATCATGTCTGGCCAAAAGGATGTCTTTACTTAGAGAGGGGGGAAAGTCCAAGTTTACCAGCTTGTCTATAAGAATGTCTGGGATGATGGTATTGAAGGCGGAGCGGAAATTAATGAAGAGCATCCTTACTGATGTCCCAGGATTCTCCAGGTGATGCAGAGTGGAGTGGAGGGCGGTGGAAATTGCATCCTCTGTGGATCTATTTGCCTTATAGGCAAACTGGTGGGGGCGAAGCTGGGTGGGAGGCAGTCCTTTATGTGTTTTAGGACCAGCTTCTCGAAGCACTTTGCAACCACTGGAGTCAGTGCGATGAGTCTGTAGTCACTGAGGCTACTGATGGTGGTGGACTTGGGGACTGGGACTATTGTTGATGATCTCAGGCAGTGAGGGACAGAGGCATGTGTCAGGGAGAGGTTGAATAGTCTGGTGAACACAGGAGCCAGCTGGTCGGCGCAGGCTTTGAGCACTCTAACACGTCGGGGCCAGCAGCTTTCCTCTGCTCTGAACACATTGCGGACCTGATGTTGTTGGAGGCTAAATGTGTGGGGGCTGTGCTCAGAGGACGCTGTGGGCAGGGTGGGTGCATGGTGGGGGTGAATAGTCCAGTTTTGCTGCTCTGATGCCTTTTTTAAGGTCTGCTCTTGCTCTGCTGTACATGTCCTGGTCCCCAGATGTGTATGCAGAGTACAACAGTGCCTGAACCTTGCTTGTCATCCAGGGTTTACGGTTGGGGTAGACCCGGACCAGCTTTTCCGTGGTGACAGTGTCCATGCAGTGTTTGATGTAACCCAGCACTGCGGTTGCGTGAGTCTCTAGGTCATCCTGTTCAAAGACACTCCACTCTGTGAGAGCAAAACAGTCCTGCAATTGAGCGAGAGCTTCCTCAGAAATGGTGTTAATGGTTCTGATGGTGGGCTTTGTCCTTCTCCTGAGTGGTGTGTATGCCGGGACAACGAGTAGGGAGAGGTGGTCGGACATGCTCGGGTGGGGGAGGGGAACACATCTGTAGGCTTAATATTTGAGTAAACATGATCCAGGGTGTTATTTCCACTCGTAGGGCATTTCACATGTTGTACAAATTTAGGCAGCACAGTTCTTAAGCATGCTCTGTTGAAATCCCCTGCAATGATGTGTACTCCCTCTGGGTATGTCCGTTGCTGTTCGGAGATCATGTCGTGCAGGTGTGCAAGGGCTGAGCTAGCATTAGCGTCTGGTGGTATGTAGACTGCTGTTATTAGCACTGCAGGCAGTTCTCTGGGCAAGTAGAAAGGTCTGCACATGACAGACATTGCCTCTATGTCCGGGGAGCAGACTGTGGCGATGATCTTGGTGTTCGTGCACCAGTTGTTATGTGTGTAAATGCACAAACCTCCTCCTCTGCTTTTCCCCGCTGTAGACTTTCTGTCGCTCCGGTGCATTGTGCGGCCTGCTAGCTGCATTGAGGCGTCAGGAATTCCCTCTTGTAGCCATGTCTCCATGAGGACCAGGATGTCGCAGACGATTGGCTGTGCGGCGAGAAGTGGGTTCAGTTCGTCTATTTTGTTGACGACCGAACGTGCATTGGTCAGGAAGATGCTCGGGAGCAGTGGTTTGAAAGGCTGCTTCTTTAGCCTGGCTAGCAGGCCCAACCGGCATCCCCGCTTTTGTTTGCGTTCCTTCCGCCGCCTGCGTTTCTTGGCAGAGCCGATAACAATCCACGGAGCGCCCGATGTTCTCGCTATCTCCGGGGGGATGTTGTGCATCCTCTGATAATCACTGGTAATGGGGATCTGGCTGTTATATCCGATCTTGCATGATTCCAGATGGTTGTAGGAAAATTTGGCTTTACAATAAGAAAAACAAAAGAAGAAGAAAAAGAGGAGAAACGAAAAAGAAAGGCACCTAAGTGGAGAGCATAGAGCCGCTGCGTCTGTGCGCGCCGGCATCTTGTCCTATGTGCTGGAGGAACTTTAGCTGTTTACCCAGGTCAGCCCGTAGCTGCCAATCAGAGGCTGTGTTGAGGAGACCGGTTGTTAACCGTGGACATGCCTGGGATTTCTCTCCAGCCTTAATGAAAGAGATTGCCTTCTTCGGAGCGTGATGGTGCTTGCTGGTGTTGATTGCTGAGGCAATCTGCTCAGCAACTACTCTGAGCACCTGGTCATGATGCTAATGATACCAAACATTAGCCAGGGCCGTCGGGCTGCTGCTGAGGAGGTGTTCTAGGGTGCCTCTTCCAGACCACAGGGGACAGGCAGATGTCTTGCTCTTCCCCCACACAAGGAGGTTTACTGGGCTTGGCAGGGTGTCGTATACTGCCTGCACGAGGAATCAGACACGGTGGAAGTCCGCCTGAATGATGTTTGCTCAGGTGACCTTGCACTGCAAGGTACTGTCTCACCTTGTCCACGCTCCCTGCCGCCTGAGTCCTACGGCCCTGCTTACTCGCTCATCCTCCTCACCTGCACGGACCTCTTCCTGGAGTAGCTGGTGTCTCTCCTTTCCCTGTGCCCTGCTGACCTGTGCCTTCGGAAGTACCCCAAGCCTGTTCTCCCTGTTGCTAAGACCCCCACCAGTGTCTTCTGTCTTATACGTGACTCTGCCACTTCAACTGCCTTCTCTGCCTTCCACTTTCCTTAAATGAACTATTAACATAGAATACTAACCTCGGTCCCTAAATAATGCAAGTCCTAGTTTTTGTTAACAAGGGTGCCATGAAGGTTGAAACTGAAATTTGCTCAAGGTATAAATAGGTCTAAGTGCTTTTAAGGACCTTTCATGGGTTTTTTAATGAAAAAGAATGACCTAGAATAACATCTTTGTTATTTTATAGAAAGAACTAGTCTGAAACTATGAAAGCAACCCACCGCTGTCATTACTTCCACCTATGTAATTCTCACATTTTGCTGCTTTACTGTGCACAGGGTGACTATGGCTTCCCAGGACCTACTGGACTTACGGTGAGTTTTATGAGAACATCACAGTAAGGAAATTTCTGCTACACATTCATCCTTTATGTATGTTATTACACTGAATATAAGTGTGTGTTTGTTTATTTCAGGGTCCAATAGGACCTCCTGGACAAAAAGGAGAATATGGTTTCCCCGGGCGACCAGTGAGTAATTTTGCATGTTTGATTATTAGGATATGAACGCCTCATCTATAGGTTAAAAGTGTTCTGAACTTGCACATGAAAGTCAAGGGAAACACAGAACCACTGAGTGGAATATACTTGTCAGTGATTAGCAGAACAATGTGTCATGTTTTTCAGCATACTGATTTTTTCCCTAACTAGTCATAATGGGAAATGACAAGCTGCTTGGTGGTTTTCTCCTTTCGATTCACTTTTAAATATAAGAACTACATTCATAACGCTCTTGTTTCTGTGCCTTCAAACACTTTTCTCCCTATCATGCATGCACTCACAGTCCAATGGATTCTGTTCAGTGTTTGGGAAAACCTCTTGAGCCAAAAGTACTGAAGCTTTTCCGTTCTTCCCTCTATGTAGGGGCGACCTGGTATCCCAGGGAGGAAAGGTGACAGAGGAGATTCTGTTGGCCCACCGGTAAGAGAATTAAGGCATGAAGGGATTGCAGAGAGAGAGAGCATTATTTTACACTTAAATCATCCATGAGTAGTATACTGTTGCATTTTATCATCATATCATGAATCATTCTTCAGCCAGTTATTTTACAGCTAGTACATCTGACTATAGTGTGTGGCACAACTGTTGAAACTTCCCAATGTAATCATTGTAATCATAGCGCACATCTCAGCAGCAAAACCCCAGCTCCAAACCCAACAATATGACCCCCTATGAGCAAGCACTTTGGCAACAGCGGGAAGGAAAAACTCCCTTTTAAGAGGAAGCAGCAGGCTGGAGGAGCTTCAATAAATGCCATATATGAAACTGATCTGATGTGTCGAAGTTGATGTCGTGGCCCGTCTAAATTAATCCTCAATATACATTCACACACCAAGACTCAGACATAAGCACAGACACTGGCAGGCCGTTTTTGACATCATTGTAATCATTTTTTTTGAATAGTCATTGCCATTCTTGTATGTGTGTTTGTAGCGACATCATATTTGTTACAAATAGTTTTATTCTCTGTCTCAGGGACCTCCAGGTCCTCCCGGCCCACCTGGACTTCCAGGAAGAATTATTGGTCTGAATGGAGTAAGTATGACTCAGAGAAGCAAAACATCAGTCACTAGCATATTTACTGGCCAGTTTATAAGGCAGTTGCACTTCCTATATTAATTCCATCTCAAACTCCAGAGAATAGGTGGGGAGTGTCAACATCAGCAAGGACCTGGTTCTGAATGATGACTGATCATTTGTGTCCCTGTGTTACTGTTCTCACATCTCACACATGTGCAAAGCAGACAGGGACAGCATAGAGAGTGCACGATGACATCAGTGGACAGCAAAAGTATTAGTTCTGATTAGGTTCAAGTCTTTTTATGAATAATACCAGCAAGAACTGACAATATTGCAAACCAGAACTACCAAATCTTACATGGTTTTTGCCTCAATTCATAATTCAGGATTTACTCACTGGTTTTAACTCACCACCTTAGAGTACCTTAAAAATATGTCTGGCTGAATTTTCCTGACTAGTTACGAGTTTTATCCTGCTTGTTGAAGAGTGTTGACATTTTTAATAAATGCTGCCAAAATTTCAGTAAGTTATAAGCAGCCGATTGTCTCTCTGTATAAACTTTTATACATAAAAAGTGGTAAACGTGGAAAAACATGACTAATGCTCGTGTGCAGGTTATGATCGTGACTCATTTAACATGGTGGGTGATTGACTTGTAGTCTGATTCCGCTGCTCTTCTTTGAATCTTAAAGACAGTGTTCCCGGTGCGCCCCAGACCGCATTGCAAAATGGGACGAGTAAGTCTGAGTCTGACCATCTGATTGGTTCATTTCAGTTGGAAGTTGGTGGTTCTGTTGGTGTGAGGGTGTCACAGCATGGCAGCTCTCTGGTGTGGGCCTCAACCCATTCCCCATTTCCTCTCCGTGTTTTTCTTCCCTTCATTTTGTCCTTCTTTGCTCTCCTAATGGTTTTTGAAAAGGCAACATGAATGTGGAGCTGGCCCTAATTCCTCTGGCTTTAACATGTGGTTGTTTTGTATTCTGTATATGATTCATAACTAGATTACCAAAAACATTTTCTTCAAATTACCCAAAGACCAATTCATATATTTTGGTACCATCAGTACCTCTTACTTCACTTATACTTCAATCCAATCTTTCCACTCAGTACAAACACTGATATGCCAGATGTTAAAGGGGGGCGGGGTCTAAATTCTGCTTGCCTTCTCTGTTTCTTCCCCTAATCATCGTCTCAGGAAGAGGATGCTGTGTAAACCTTTGAAAAGAAGAAGGAAACAGACATCCTTTTACTGCATGTAGATCAGAATTGGTTCAATCAATTGGAGAAAAAAAACAGTCTGTGTGGAGGTGGTCACTTCTATTTTTAACAACCTTTTTCTTATTGTAATGAAATAATGATAAACCCATCTCTGATCTACGTGTTCTCAGATAGTTCTCAGAAGGTTCGTGACCTTCAGTACCTTCTGTCGTGGTGCTGAGTGTTTGGTTTGGTTGAGCCTTCTCTTAGAAGTGACACCATGTGGAGACATGGTGTGCTGAAAACACCACGATGACTGCTTGGCTAAACTTACTTGGAATTAAAAATGTTTTTTAGGTAGTTAATGAAGTGCAGTAACAGGACATTCTCTGTGCAAATGGCCTCTCTGCCATCTGTCAGAGGGCTTTGGGAGGTCTTCAAGTCGACTTTTGTTAAAAGTCATCCTTCAATGAAAAGCTTGAATCCACCATAATTTTTTCATCAGCCTTTTATAACACGTTGCTTGCTTGAACCTTAATCCTACATTTTAACCCAGGATGAGTGCTGCAGTCTGTAGCACGCATCCCTTGTATTTAACAGGTGTTTATGTAATCCTGACAATAATTTTTAGCTTTGATCTGCTTGTCTTTTTTACAATAATCCATTGTTTTTACCATAGTCTCTGATTGTGACTTTTGACTTTGCAAATTAACTTTCTGATGTTCACTTGTTTGTTCTGTTGTGTAACCCGACTGTAAATGTGTATAAGGGCCAGCTTCCCAACACAAATGTTATCTCAATGACGATGTATTTGTGCATAGGAGTCAATGACAAGGGGACATTCAGCTGGACCTAAAGGAGACAAAGGAGATGAGGGATTACCTGGGGAGCCAGGAACTCCTGGTGAGATCTTAAGATGACAGGATAGTGGACAGTGGTGGAAGTTCATTTTAAATATGGTCAATGTATCATGAGGCCAAAGTATATGGAAGTTCTGTCTATCAGCTGACATTTCACACCACATGTTCTGCTGCTTGCTTTGTGTGATTTGATATGTGTAATTTTTCTTCTTAGGGCTCACATTTCCAGATGGAAATGTGGTGAGTACTCACGTACAACACATAATACACAGTCGTGGTAAAAAAAAAAAGTACATCTGCTTGGTTTTGCGTATCAGGACAAATTATTAAAATAATCTAGGAAGTAATAACTTTTCAAAGTACGGTAGTTTAAATGTATAACTTCTCAGATGTAACAACTTTAAACTATAAAACCAAGCTAACGCACAAACAAAACATTAAAACTGACAAACTGGCACTTGTTAAGCATTTAAGACTGAAATATGTGCTAATACACTAGAAATGCACCTTGACGGTGGCAGAGTGGTGAATCCTGAGTACTCTTTTGATCTCTCAGGGGACTAAAGGTGATCAGGGATACAAAGGTCAGAAGGGAGAAAAAGGGGATGCGGGCCTGCCTGGTCCTCTGGGGATCCCAGGGAGGTCAGGCCTTGTGGTAAGTTAAGCTATGTGGTAAAAATACTATTCTAGAACAGGAGGTTATTTAAAAAAATATTTTAAAATGATTATTTGTAAAAGCTGATCCGGCTTCTGGCCAAAGCTGTGCAAATTATACCACTCTTTTACAATGAATTGAATTCTTCTGTTGTTTCTCTAGGGTCCGAAAGGCGAATCCATTGTTGGTCCAATGGGTCCTACTGGTTCTCCTGGTCAGCCTGGACCTCCAGGATTTGGACGGTCTGGACCTCAAGGTCCGCCTGGCCCTCCTGGGCCCCCAGGACCACCCCCTCCATACGGATCAAGTATGTGTGTCTATAAAGTTAAAACAAGTACCAAGTCACAGCCTGTACTACATGTGTATTGATTTTATGAGTTTAAAGTAATTGTGTTGTCATCAGCTGTCAGTGTCCCCGGCCCTCCCGGTCCTCCTGGTCCACCAGGCTCTCCAGGATATGCAAACTTTGTAAGAAACTGCTGAGGTGTAACCATACTTGGAATAAATGGAGAATCAAATGATTAGCTAACATTTTAAAGTGTCATCACTGATGCTCTGATGGTTTGTGTTCAGGTTACCAGCTATAAGACAGTCCACGCCCTCACCCAAGAGGCACACCATGCTGCTGAAGGTACCTTGGCATATGTGTCTGAAAGGGGAGGCGAGCTGTACATCAGAGCACGCAATGGTTGGCACAAGATCCAGGTGTGTAGGACGAGACCAGAAAGATTCAATATCTTTCAGGATATAATATCCTCTATAAGATCATCGTCCGCTGCATCTTCCTGTGAAGCTTCTACTTTCAAATCACTGTCCAAAAGAATTGATTTGTCCTCTTGTACTGTAGAGTTTCACCACACGTCTCAAACATGTGCAAACAGCAACATTATAGTCTCCTTCAAACTGCTTTTAGCGGTATAGCATAGAGCAGGGTTGTCCAACACCAGTCCTCGAGAGCTACTGTCCTGCAGCTTTTAGACGCATCCTTGTTCCGACACACCTGAATCAAATGAATGGCTTGTTATCAGGCCTTTGCCAAACTTGATGGCTGCTAAAGCGGTAATCAAACCATTTGATTGAGCTGTGTTGGAGTAGGGATGCATCGAAGAGCCGCAGGACAGTAGCTCTCGAGGACTGGTGTTGGACACCCCTGGCCTAGAGTTTCCAAACCTGAAGGAGACATTTTATGCCAAGAATGCGAACAGAAAGTACCTAATGGTTCCTCTGGATTACCGTCAGCCAGAGATGATGGGCATCACTTATCAACTTTGACCCAAGATGCTTCAATTGTGTGTGTTCAGTATTACATATATGTGTTTTGTTTTGATTATTCAAGTAATGTATTATTTTGTAAGCTTGTCTTGTGTTTTCACTTGTCTGTTATTTGTTCCGATTATTTGCTCAAATATTTATTGAAAGGACTTTGCAATAATTTATTTAAATGAATAACTGAAGTGCTATGTGCAAAAATGCTGGACTGGACATCATTTTATATCAAACACTATATAAAATACAAATATTACTGTATTCTTCTCTTTGGATTTTGCCAGTGTGTCCTATTAATGCTGGTGGTAGTTTGTGTCTCACTGACATCAAGAGTAAACTGCAGTGTGTGTGTGTGTGTGTGTGTGTGTGTGTGTGTGTGTGTGTGTGTGTGTGTGTTCTGTGTCAGCTCGGAGAGTTAATCCATTATGAACCTTCATCAGACACATCTCAGTCCCTCAGCAGACCCGGAGAATGGAGTAGAGCCCATAGGATGCACAGCCAGGTCCAAACACCAATGCGCACACACTGGAACCTCACTGAACAGAACTTTGAAAGCAACTTAAAAAAAAATTAATTCAAAGTTGTTGTTTTTTTGTTTTTGTTTTTTAAAAACACACTTATCCAACTTTTTTGTTGAACAGGAGCTGCAGGAGGGAAGCAGAGGATACCAGCACAGTTATAACCTGCTACCACAGCATTTCAATGCAGTCTCTGGGGTGAGTCCAAACACATATTAGGCATACTCATCACAAATGAAGCCCAATTCCAAACCCAGAGGGTGAAAATGAATTGGCTCACTGGAGGCCTTTCAGATTTTATATTTCATCTGTAATGAAGAGCACATCAGGTATGACTGAGAATACTTTCTCTAATCTTTGTGCTCCATTTCTCTTTCGTCTAGCTTCATCTCGTAGCACTGAACGCCCCGCTCAAAGGAGATATGCGTGGCATCCGCGGAGCAGACTTCCAGTGTTACCAACAGGCACGCGCCGTGGGGCTCACCTCCACATACAGAGCCTTCCTGTCATCACACCTTCAGGACCTGGCAACCATTGTCAGAAAGGCTGACCGCAATGACATGCCCGTGGTTAATCTGAGGGTGAGCAGGTTTCATAGCACTACACAATACATGATGCAACACTTGGCTTTCTTTTCCAGCAGGAATATTTTCAGCATCAAATAAAATAGAGAGTAAAAGCGAGTGGCACATTTAAAAGATAGAAAACAAAAAAATATGTCTTGTAAGTAGTGTAAGAAGAGAAATTTAAGATACTCTATAATACAACCTGCAAACCCCTAGTAACACTGTGAAACAACATTGTAAGAAGGGGAAGTTAGTATGCTCTACAGGACATACTATAATAACAGTTGTGATAATCTAAGAAGGGGAAGTATTGTTCCTTCCTTGTTCCACTGCACCTACATCTTTAGTAGTAGTATTTTTAGGTATCAGAAATTAGACCCAAATTCAAAGGAATTACACGGATATCAAACCTTAACCCTGAGTGCATTATGTGGTTTTCTTCAAACAAAGAACAGATTATTCCACAAAGTAGAAGTGATATATTTTCTGGGGTTTTGTTTTTCTCATTTAAAACACATTATTTTTAACAGTTGGCATCTTCTTAAGCAAGTTTTTCCCCCTGTCCTGCCCTCAGGGTCAAGTGTTGTTCAATAGTTGGATGTCCATCTTCTCTGGGAATGGAGGCGTGTTTGATCCGTCCACACCCATCTTCTCCTTTGATGGACGCAATATAATGAGTGACTCGGCTTGGTAAGTGGGTGGGGGAAAGTACGTGCAAAGGAATGAAAAATGATGCCATTTGCCAAAAATGATTAATTTAGGAGTTCCAGTTGGGCTAAAATGCTGAATAGAACGATTTTTATGATGTACAGGCCATAAATTTCATGTTCATGTGGACAGCAGCTCTCACTCAGATGAACAGTGGTACTGGCAAATGCATTTACGAGCACTTTTTAAGCATTTATGAGAACATGATGGAAGATGGAGAGTTTTTTTTTTGTCTTTTATTGAGAGTGAAAAAACAGTTTTCTCAGTCAGTTGGCAAATTGATCAGAAATACCAAAATCCTGCTCCATTCCTCAACTCACAGAAGGTTCTGGTGATATATAGCTTCTTTGTCAGCCTGCATAAATTCTCCTGTTTGTGCTGCGGGGGGTCAGTTATGAAAAGGTAATAAAGCCAGATAAACTTTGGTTGAACTGGACTATTGATGAATAAAGTCATCAATAGTCACATCCATCTCTCATATATAGTCACAGGCATTTTTAATTAAAGGTACAGTCAGGCGTTTGAGTTTGTTCTGTCTTCAAACAAATGACTCCATTCTCATAAACTTAGAAATAATCCGCAAAAAACACATAGTGGGTTTGTAAAAGCAGCCATGTTGCCCCATCTCCATAAACACAACGGCCACGATGGACATTGCCATTACACCTGATTGTGTTTTATGTATGTGATTAGTGACCAGCCACATATGTAGTATGCCAGTCAAGAGGAAAGAACTGATAGACATTCGGGTTTCATAAAGGCAAATTTGAATTGCTTATTTACACCCAATATTTTCAGAATTACTTAGACAGCTGACCCTCCTGCCTTCAGGCAGCTGCAAAGAACCAGCTAAACACCCAGTTATGAATGTTATGAAGAATGTTAGCCTCGAATGTCCTAAAAATCAGCGCCCCCGATAAACAGTTTGGTTACATTTTCACATCAAATACGGGCTTATTCAATAAGTGTCAGAGGCCAACAGTGTTAGAGCCACTTAAAGGAAAGTTTCACTAATGTTAACTCACAGCAGCTAACAGCAGCTAACAGCAGCTAACTCACCTCAGTTTCCCCGTCATTGGTCAGAAATGAGCTTGCATCAGACTCCTCTGAGTTTTATAGCCTCCTTCAGCCTAAATAGTCATGGATGTTTCTCAACCAGCATTGACAGCTGAGGTAAACACTCTAAATTTTATGCTTTTGGCTGACTTTGTCCTACAGTAGCCACCATAGCTAGGATTATGCACTTGAATTGAGAAGGGTAAAAAAGAAGAAGTCATTTGACTGCAATCTACTGACATCTAGTGGTGAGATTTTTCACACTTTAACAAGCGTTCTTAAACCAATAAACTCAGGCCGCAGTGAGCAGACTTCATGAATTCATAAACCAAAGAAATATTTTTTTTTTCCTACTGTCACTAATCTGTGCCAGTGTATGCCATGCGATGAACTAAGAAGCACAGAAAAGCAAAGGCATGTGTTGCATTAGCCTGACAGTTTTATCAATCAGCTAAGAGTGATATTCAAAATTATAGTTTTAGTTGTAGAGTTAGGAGCTCATAAGGAGTAACTCTCGGATTCAGTTTGGTCCTAATAACACACGAATGGGAAGCTTCTTACCTCAAGGCACCAGGAGATGATGCACCTGTCTAATTTTAGATAATGAGGAGACAGGAGTAGCAAAAAGTTGAACTGTTGTATAACAGTGCATCTCAAAGCACAAAGAAAACATTAACTAAAGCTGCCCAGTAAGTTCAATATTTCCTTGTAAAGAAGAATACTGGTCAGTCTTCCAGCTGGACAGGCAAAACCATGTGGAGAACTCAGACACAAGAATGTGCAAACTTCACACACACAGGCTCTTTCTGCTGTGAACTGCCTTCAAAGAAGTAGCTGCAGTCGACCTCAATGCCCTTGTCTTCCATTTGTCCGTCTTTACCTAAACTGCTATAGCACAGGGACGGTCTGTGTAAAATCCACACCAAGTCTCTCTCCGTTTTCCCATAGGCCAGAGAAGCTGGTTTGGCATGGCTCCAGCACCACGGGCATCCGCCTGACCACTAACTACTGCGAGGCCTGGAGGACAGCGGACATGGCGGTGACGGGTCAGGTTGCCCTGCTGCAGACGGGACGACTGTTAGGGCAGCACGTGCGCGCCTGCTCCAACCACTATGTAGTGCTGTGTATAGAAAACACATATGTGGGCAACATGCATCAAAGGAGGAACTGAGCAAACAAACACACACACATAAACACATGCAGGCATGATCTAAGTAGAAGATGTGACACATGAATGGGAAACACATGCGGGCACATAATGATGTACTTCAGCTCCCACATGCAAACATACCGAGAAACACTCCCACACTAACATGCATTCACATTTAAAGAGGACTTATCATACTCATTTCCAGCTCCATATTTTTATTTTTGGACTGTGCTAGAGTAACTTTGCTTTATTCACAATCCAAAGTAATCCTTATTTATCTTATACTGAGGAAGCACTTCAGTGCAGCCACGCCCCTTCTAAGAAGTTTCTTCTGATTGGCTGCCACTCATAAACACCGAATTCAGAATTCAGTAGCAGGTGGGCGGGACTTTTACACTCACAGTCTGAACTGCGATATGACGAGATCCTCTCAAATTCATTAAAAGGCCCAGAGACTGAACCTTTGGCCTCATTATTTGGTCATCCTTGTAACACTGTAACAACAAAAATATGATAGAATTAGGCTTAAAAATAAGACAAAAAAGGAAGAGCAGTAGGTCCTCTTTAAGTTTTCTTTGTATTGGTTTCATGTTTAGTTCCCACTCGAAGCCGGATTTAAGCCTGCGGGTCTTACATGTCTGTCCGTGTCTAGATTTTTCTTAGCCGTCTGCATCAAACAGGCTACAGTTACCATGCATAAATTTGTCTGCAAGACCAAGTGAGAATGAAGGGCTTCAAATTAAAATGAGGTCATAATCATATATGTACTTTATTGGAGATTAAAAAAAACGTGTCAGTATTTTTTTAAACAGCAGGGGCTGTCAATTCAAATATTAGTCATATTGAAACCGTGCTTTCATTGTGAGCTACGTCTGATGCTTTTAGTGAGCCTGTGCGTCAGCAGCAGGGCAGTGTATGCCACAGTGAGTCAAAATGAACCAATGTGTGTTTGAGTTCAATGGTACCAAAGTTTCCCAAACACATTTGAAGCATGTGGAAACAGCTGTACACACGTCTTAGACTTTAGTCACTAACTAATGACTGATGTGTCACCAGAAAATGGCACGAGTGTTAATTTCTTACATCCGGGGATGAATGACGGATGAATGGGGGATTTGGCAAGCAGGGGAAAAACACTCAACAGACACTTCATTAGATATACTGGTTAAACTAGTCATCAATCTCATGGCATTAACTGTAGACATGGTCAACTGGACTTGAAGTTTAAAACAAACACCAAAATGTGGAAGAAAGGTGAAAAAAGAAAGAAAGGTTTAAGTCTGAATGTGGCACGGTTGTTGGTATTCCAGAAACTGCTGATCTACTGGATTTTCAGGGTTTATGGAAAATTATGATAGGTAGACACCAGTAACTCAAATAGCTATTTGTTACAAACAAAGGATGTAGAAGAGCATCTCTGAACACATGACATTAAAGCAGATTGGCTACAGCAGCAGAAGACCACACCCTCTGCTACTCCTATTGGCTAAGAACAGGAATCTGAGGCTACAGGTCACACAGGCTCACAGTAGCAGGCTGGAAAAACCTTGCCTTGTCTGATGAGTTTTGATTTCTGCTTCAACATTCAGGTGATAGGGTCACAGGTAATCTCAAACTGATTCTTGAACATGACTATGAGTTCACCTGATCCCAATCTGGTAGAGCACCTTAGAAATGTAGAATGGGAGATTCACATCATGGAAATTTGCAGCAGCTCTGCAAAGCAGGGTCCAAACTTGTATTGGCCAAGTGTAACTAACGACGTGGATTTGTTTTCCTTTTGGTCAACTGACTTCCACTGCTGCTGGGACTGAGGTTTACAGCTCTATGAGGATTTAGCTGACGGCACTCTATGATATATAAAAGCAGTGATACTAACAAGGACAATCCTTTTTAAATTCGTCCTTGATCTGTCACAGTGTAGCCTGTCGGATAGCCTTTGTCCTTGTGTTTTCTTCCTTTTTTTAACATTACATTTTAATCTGATATTGAAAACATTAATCTTTTTTTTAAAGCATGATAAGACTACAACAATAAAAAAGTACAGGTGATACTGAAGGCTTCAGCATAGGCTAACTGCACTATGATGCCCCCTGCTGTAAAACCACCAGTTTTGTTTACACCATTTTTTTTCCAAAGCTTAGTCCTACAAATTCAATTTCTTTTGTTCTGCGTCCTTTAATAAAAGTTCACCATTAACACATCTCTTTTGAAGTAACAATATTAGAGTGGACATCAACATTAATATGTACTGTAGCAGGACCTAGCGTGAAAACAGTCAGCTCACATTCAGATTTGGTTGTGTGAGGTTGGAACATGTATGTATATAAATATATATATGTATGTGTGTTGTTCAGGTGTTGTTTATTTTTTACTCTGTAGGTTTTGTATGAAGCACACTAAAAGACAGAAGGCCTCCTCCCACCGCGCTTTCACTGAGGCGTAGCTTGTTTTTCTGTTGTCTGACTTTAATGTCTCTGTTCAAACAAAACTTGAGGTTCTGAGGAAAAAACTGACGGTTTGTACTGACTGACTGGTGCTCACTGAATAAAATGTCACGTGGTGGTTTTTTTTGCTTTTTTTTTTTTATAAGTTGTGGCTCATTTATGTCCTCCAACATGTGTTCAACAAAATCATCAAATGTCATGCAGAAGAACCAACGAGAACATTGGTAAGCTAGCAAAAAAAACAGCTTTTTATGTAAACTGCTGCATTGTCATTTAGCTTTGAAGAAGTGCATTTTATATTCGGAATCGTACATTTAACCAATTTCTTTCCCCCACAGTTAGCAGTTTGCAGATGCATCACGTATCAGTAGTAGTTCTCAATGAGAGGCTAAAACATGTTGTAACAGTCACAGTAATTAGTAATCAGGAATTTTTAAAATGTTAGCTAATATTACCCTATTAGTCAACATTGTTAGCTAACATTGTTAGCTAATAGGTTAATGGGTCACACCAGTTCAAAAGGCTTGTTGCAGCAAAGCCCCTGAAAGCACCAGACTTGTGTGAATATGAATTCATATTTAATCTTTCATTTATATGAAGTTTAGACAAGTGGATGTGGAATTTTTTCTTTTTTGCTAGGAAAACAGGAAATGGGCACAGAAAGGTACTAAATCATCCAAATGTACATCGAAATAACGCAAAAGTAGAGCTTGTGAACACAAGCAGCGCAGCCTGATCTCTCTTAGGCAAGCTTTCTTGTCATTTCAGAAATAGTTCTGTGTTTTGAAGGACATACTGAAGATCTTTGGATGTTGGCTGACTTTAGTTGGGTTTTCTCTTAGAACCTTGAACTCTGGGTTCTACCCAGCAGTGTGTTTGGGATAACTGTCATGTTGGATCAAAATCTGACTGTATTTTCAGTGTTTATAGTTCCATCAGTTTTAGCAAGATCCCCAGCTCCAAATCATGGTATAGCCTCCACCATGTTTTACAGATGGTTCTACAGTCACAGTTGTACCTCTCTCCTAACCTCCTCCACAAAGATTGACATCCACCAAAAATTTCAAATCTGGATTAATCACTTCATAAGACATGTTGCCACTTCTTTTCAGTCAAACTTTGGTCTAATTTGACATACCACAGGCTCTTCTCTCGGATCTCTTCCCTGTTACCTTTAAAGGTACAGTTAGCTATTTTTTGAGATTATATAATAATAAATAATATCATCATCATAAATATATACTATTAGAGTAATTTTACCATTTCACTGTCTGTAACTGTAAAAAAATTTTTAAACAAACTTTAATTTTAGGTTTATGAGAATTCATCTACTAACATACATAACATTACCAAAGATAGAGGAGAAAAAAAAAGCTTGTAGGCGTTTGTGTGCCATGGAGGCAAATTTTAATTTGTGCCAACACTTTCAGAAAGAAGATATGAGGGAGCATAGCTATGTTTTATCTTCGGAGGTCTTCTTCACCAAAGAGGTGAAAACATGAAGGAAAGAAACAACCTGACCGACATTTTAATAAAACACCATCTCATCCCTCCTCACCTCAACAGTCAACTCCAGAAGTAAAGTTGGGGCTCTAACACAATGTTTCTCTATTCCCAATATTCCACAATTACTTAATGTTAGTAGTAGCGATAGGAATCAACAAAGTACAAATACTTTGTTACTGTACTTAAGTGGATCTGTAGCTTATTTTCTGACAACTTTTTACTTTTACTCTGTAAATTTTTCTGAAAATAGTTGTACTTTTTACTCCTTACATTTTCAAAACAGGCTTATTACGTTAGTTTCAACGGTATTATTTATAGCATTCATACTTTGTCCATAAGTTGTGGTGGCCTGTCATCAGCTTCTAGCTGGCGCTAAAGAAGAGGAGCGAGCGTAAGGGGAATAACATTTTTTTAACCAACAAGTAATTTCAAATGCAACGTTTCTGTCCACACAGACAGTTTGTACAGTCTGTTATTCAAATGTTGCATAAAAATACTTCACAGAATTTTACCTTTATACTGTCTAGAATAAAGACATACAGCCTTCTCCAGGGTAAACAGACCAGTTCCTTACCTGGCATGCTGACTGTTTGCTGAGGTAAACATACTCAGTTTTTAAAGTGATTTTTTCTGGGGGGAGGGGGGGAGATTGTAAAACAATGCAAATTACTAAATCGACACATTACTTTTTTGACTCCTGATTTATTGCAAAGTTTTGATATTATTTAAATGTTAAAAAAAATGTTTACAAAAATATTTTTTATACACAAGCAGTAGAAGAAAGTCAATGTGGTTTTATTTATATAGCCACAAATCACAACAACAGTTACATCAGAGCACTTTATATTGGAAGGTAAAGACGGGACAATATTAGAGAAAACCCTATATCAGACAAACCCCTATGAGCAAGCAGTTGGCAAGAGTGGGAAGGAAAAACTTCCTTTTAACAGGAGGCAGGGTGGCACATACCTCTTCATATGAAAATCCCCTATATGTAAACAGAGTCAACAAAATAGTCAAAAACATGATGGGGGTGTCAAGACATCGCCGGTCTCTCTGATCCTTTTGCCTTGATAGAGATCACGCAGAGATGTTTCAAAGTTTCACACAATCCTTTTATTACCCATTTCCTGGCAGCAGAGGGGCAGTTGCCCCCCTGTAGATGTGCCCCTGGTCAACACATAACAGTCTCAAGTTATTACTCATTAAGAAGGTCCTGGATAATCTCCCCATCTTAAACTTAGAATCACATTTACAAAATGAGACCGAGTCCTTACTGTGGGTCACACCTGAGGGCTTCTGTAGGACTGAGTCAAAGCCTTCTTGCAACTACAGGTACCACCCTGGTGGCCATTAAGAAAAAAGCAAGTTTCAGGCATTGCCTTCTTTCAATTTAACGAAAAAATAAAATCAAAAAGGAAAAAGCCACCGTCACAGCCATGTCGTAACAAAAGATTCATTTTATTAAATGGTTATGTACAAGACATTCCTGAATCAAAACAGCAAGTCCATAACGCTTCATCTTCTGTTACCTTTACATCTTCTCGTAATCTGAGTACCTCCCCTCCCCCCCCACCCCACAAAAAACAACAACAAAGGACAAAAAGAAACAAACAAACAAACAAACAGGTGTGCTTCCATTTTCAAAAAGAGTTTTAAACACCCCCCCCTTATTGCACCAGACCCTTACACACTTCAGTCCCAAGGTGGCTATGAGGGTCAGTCTTAAAGAAAAAAAGGGGGGAAAATTACTGTAAGCCTGCATCCCTCAAAACAAGGACCGGTTAAATACAAAACATGGTCTGGGTAAGTACAATTTAATTTGTCTCTACAGCGGCTTTACCACAAACATTACTGAAGCGATAGTCGAATTACTTACAAAAAAAAAAAATCAAGATCGTCTATAAAAAGGATGTCCGTAAAATCCATAGTTCAAAAAAGAAAAGCCTTTTTAAAAATGGTGAGATTATTTATGTGTGACTATGTAGTGATGCGTGGAAGTGGCTAACTCAGCTGAGAATTTATATCAGATTTAGAAAAGCACCGACCAGGAGCTGAGCTATGTTTCCAAAAGCATCTTAGACACGTGGTTCACTCCACGGACGAGTATGTTTCCTATTAAAACTCTACTGCTGTCTTATATTTGGGCTGTGCTGACAGATATAAAGCCGCTCTGAAATGAGACTATATCAGGTCGGACACCTGATCAGGATTCTGAAGCTTAGCTGTCATCAGCTGTGTGAGGCCTGTGCTCTACACAGTTAATAGCAAGCTCCTACAATAATAACACGACTATCACAGTGAAATAAACCTTGAAACAATCACTACAATGTGGGTCAAACAGATATTTGATGAAGACATCGATAAATTTCAAGAGATTCCATATTCACAAGGTGTAAAATTAACACTGTGCACAGATAATTATTAAAGTTGGATAAAAAGGCGACTGTAAACCAAAGAATTTCAATAGTAACTGGCACAGAAATTAGCAGGCTCCTTATTATAAACAAGAGATACAGCCCTAATCAAACATCTTCAGTAGATCACTCCAAAAAATTTAATTTCGACTCAAAAAGAAATCAGGTTAAGATCTTTTTTTTTTAAACCTGGATAAAATCCACCCATAATAAGCATAAGATGCTTTTGGAAACTCTTGACTGTAGCAGTGTGAACGTTCCTGCAGGTCCGGCAGAGCCGAAGAGAAGAACCAGACCATTTTCCAACAGCAAAAAGGAACCTCTCTGTAGGTGTGTGAAACTATCTGTGCTGGTGTTAAACAGCTCTGCAGTGGCAAGTGTGTGTGTGTGTGTGTGTGTGTGTGTGTGTGTGTGTGTGTGTGTGTGTGTGTGTGTGTGTGTGTGTGGACTCGAATAATTTGGGATTTCCTCATAGTTCTGCATTTGTGCAGGTGGTGTGAATTTAGTCGTCTTGTTTCTAGGTGCTGTTAACAAACCATGAAAAGTCTTTAAGAAAAAAAACCCGATGAGCCTGAAGTAAATAAAAGGCGGTGTGTGAGCAACGATGACCAAACCCCAGAAACAATAAAACATCACCCTTCCAAACAGGATAGAGCTGCTCTACGATGGCATGAATGGCTGTAGCAACAATAGAAGGCCCCGATTTCTGCATAAACTTGTTTAAAAATGTGATGTATGCAATGGGGGCTTCTACCACAGCTACATGTCCCTGAGAACAAGGTCCACGTCACATGTTATTGGGACCTGCACACCATGCTAACAGAGGAGGGTTGAACCTGCTGCACTCAGACGTCTTTTTTCAGTCCATGAAGTCTCATCCAGCAACACCTGGAGTCTGAAAACCTCTCAGCTGGGAAGGAAGACTGAGACCGTCAGGAGTCCAACTCTACAGGCTGTTCACTGTTAATGCCCCCTCAAGGAAATATGAAATGCTCTCAGTGATGCATGTTTTTAGAGTTATGTCAAAGGTCCTCTTAATCAAAAAAAAAAAAAGGAAAAAAAAGAAAGAAATCATTCCCTTTTTAAGGCAGCGTCTCACTTCAGCACGAGGTTTTCTTAACCACTCAAAATGAAATGTAGTCACAAGACTGCTTCCAAATCTGCTCCTGTGGAGACACTAATGTTCTCTGCTCGA